CAGTACCACGCAGCTCTGTCTTCTAATTCAGTATCTCCTTCACAGTACCACGCAGCTCTGTCTTCTAATTCAGTATCTCCTCACAGTACCACGCATTTAGGACAGGTCCACAAACACAGGCTGAGTAAAGAAGCCAGGGACATAGTGAGTTTTGAGTTGGGCGGCTAACCACAAGGTCATCAGTTCAAAACCACCAGCTGCTCCATGGGAGAACGATGAGCTTTCTACTCCAGTAAAGAGTCACCGTCTCCGACCCACAGGGGCAGTTCTGCCCTGTCCTGTAGGGCTGTTCAGTGTCGGTGTTGAGTGTTGAGTGAAGATCAAGGTCTGAATCCAACTAAAGACCGTGTCATAGCAATCACTGCCCCATGACTCAGGTAAAGGCACATTTTAATGCAAGGGAGAAAAGTAGGGGAGAGAGCATTGTTCAGTTTAAAAACAAAGCATAAAACCCAATCTCACTGCCCTGGAGTTGATTCGGACTCATCGCAACCCTGATGGACAGAGTAGACCTGCCCTGTGGGTTTCCAAAGCTGCGGATCTTTACTGCAGCAGAAAGCCTCACCTTTCTCCTGTGGAGTGACTGATGGGTTAGAACCTCTGACCTTGTGGTTAGCAACCAAAGAAGTAACCCACTATGCCAGTCGGGCTCTTTGTTGTGGAGCTCATACCGTCCTAAAGGCTCTCTTTCAGTCCCGCGGCTGCCGGTAGCGAATAGAGAAACCTGCACACAGAGGCAAAAGACACCAAGCTGCGTCCTAGACCGTGCGCCAGAGGCAACCCCACACCTCTCTGCAGTGATGCGGAGGCGGGTAGGAGGCTTCCATTGGGTAAGATTTCCTTTTAACCATTATAAGTGACACAGCAGGTTAGGCGCTGGGCTAACACCCAAGGTCGGTGGTTCAAACTCTCCAGTCGCTGCAAACAAGAAAGATAAGGCTGTGTGCCCCCATAAAGACACACGGCCTCAGACATCTTCTATACAGAGTGGCTATGACTGAGAATCGGCTTGATGACCGTGGTGTGTTTGGGTTTATTTCCCAGACTATCTATCGCTTTCTCTACAGGTAACTTGTAACAAACCATCTTTGATGTCAGTTTCTCAGATGTGTTACACTCGAGCTGAGGCTGCTCCAGGCAGCCAGGCAGTGCCCTGCCCCCACGTGGTACCCTCTCTTGCCCTGGGGAAGCAGGCAGGACCCAGTGTCCTAGACGAGTCCTTCACCTGGGCCACTACATACCTTTACAACATTCTTACATCCATAACCCAGTCCACGGATGGGCCACACCGTTGGGCCACTTTGCGCTTTGATCTGTCCAGATACAAAATTAAAGAAAACTAGGACATTCGGCAGTCCAGCAGATGGCCGGATCTGCAGTGGGATTTATTGTGTGGATATAGTCAATGATATTTTTGTGTCATTTCGGTGCATGGCCTAAATCTCTGACCCTTTTCTTTTTATTAAGCAACTCTTTAATTGATTCTACCTTAAACCTTTCAAACTAACATCTAGATTACACCTCTTTAGGGTTCCCTCAGTCGCAGCAAGAAAATGTCAGTGATATTTACATCCAGGGTCCAACTCAAATGTTGCTGTTTTGGTACATTTTAGGTAGCCAGGAAATGGTCCTTTCCTGGGACAGGGGTGTGGGGAGGGTTGGGGGAGGGAGAGGTGTGATGTACTTGGCTGAAGTATTTAGTACCAAAATATTGTGATGTCCGAAATCTACCTTAAAATGGTCAGCTACAAAGCTAGCTGTCAACCATCTAGCTGTCTACCTGCCTGTGAGCAAATATGGCAAAACGTTGACTGTCAAATTTACATTGTGTTGAAAAAAAGAAATTAATTAATTAAAAAGATCAACATCATGTGCACCTAGAAGGATTCGCTGTACTGATGCACTTTTCTGAATGTTTATAAAATCCTCCATCGTAAAACATCCCCCCAGAGAGGCCAGGGCTTCTGACCTCATTGCTGTGTTGCCTGTTTGGACTTTGTTCACACATGCAAAAGAAAGAGGTTTTATGTTGTGTTCTTTTTTCCGTCTTCTTCCCCTGAACTAAACGGTCTGTTTTTTTCTTTTCCCCCAAAGCTACTGCTTACAGCAACACCATATTTTCACCTTAAAAAATTGCAACCGGTCTTCATCATGCTGTGCAGCCCCCCCACGGTTCAGTCACAACTGTCCCCATCGCTCTCTCGGCAGAAGCTCACAGCCCCATCTTCCCTTCTAGGTCCTTTAAGATCCCTTTCCAGATACAAAACCTGGATGCTTAGGGTTTAGATGTTTTCTCGCCCGGGAGGGCGGGTTGCAAAAGGCTAAAGATTGTTAGACACGTCACTTTCACTCAGACAGTGGAAATGCTATTGATGAAACAGTGTGCATAGGCAAGGAAGGTGTTAACCCTTTTGTGACCTACTCCCATAGTGCCCACCAATATCGTCAGCCTCTCAGGTTCCTTGGGGTGTTCCCGGAGGCTGCCTCCTGGTGGGGACCTGAATGCCAATGGGCCTCACCCCATCAATCCTACCACCACAGTCCACCTGGGACAGATGTGTGCCACATAATTGCAGCCAAATCCCTGTTGCCTCAGGAAAATGTTTCCAGCCCTTGAGTTCAGCAGGCTAGCTCTTCCTGGAAGCCCAAAAGCCAGAGCGGGAAGTAATCTGGTCACGAATGGGTTGTGGCACTGCTTTAAGAAGCAGGGAGAGACACTGTTATTCCACCTTCCATTGCTTCCCGGATAGGTGGCTGTGAGTGCTCTCGCAGGAAGGGACCTTCCTCGGGGTGGGAGGCACACAGCACCGGGAAGGGTAGCTGCAGGAAGAAGACATGGCTGGCAGAAGCCACGGCCCAGTGGATACCCTTTGCTCTTCAGGGGAAAAGAGGTGGCCCGTACTCACTTCTCCTCGATCACCTGCTTCTGGAATTCTTCATACTCCTCCCTCGTCATGCCTTGGGCTGCCGCAGGGTCCGAAGGGCTGCCTTCTTCACTCTTCTCCTCTGAGCGGCCCCCCAACCCTAAATTCTTTATCTGGCTGCTTATCATACTTTTCACAAAGAAAGCCATGGCTTCTGCCCCAGAAAGACAGTAGAAAGAAGAAGAATGAGAACCGCCCCCCCAGATAAAGCCTGAGAACCCACCCAAAATGCCCACAATCACCGCAGGGCATCCCAGGCCGAGGCCTTGGCTCAGTCGACCTCCTCAGCTCAAGGGCGGGCGTCTGCAGGGCCGAGGGCAGAGGGATTGTCAGCCCACAGCCAGCCGTAAGCTGGATTAAGATGCTGAAGCCCTGAGCCCACGGGGGCAGATGGTTCCGATTACTCAAGCATACCGTCAGGCCACCTGCTCCCGGAATTAATACACTGAGCTAATTTCATAGGGTGGGGGTGGGGGAGCCCTTCCTTTAACTGTGACCCCCCCCCCCTTCTATCCATTTTCTGATTTTGTAATTAGAAGCCCAGCAGGGTTTCTCCAGAGGTCCGGTTTCAATTAAAGTCTGTAGGGCTAAAGGGGGAGGGGTCCCCCACAAATCATCACAGGTCTGGTAGGTGCAATTGTACAGCAATAATAAGTAAAGATTATAGTAAAGTCATAGAGATCATGAGAGGTAGAAGAGAGAGTCAAGTAATGGAGTCAGACACAATTCATGGTAGCATTGCTCACCTCAGCCCTGCTTGGTAGTCCTCGTGGGGGGAACCTGGCCACGAGAGCAGGAGCAGCCTCCGGGAAATGAGAACCGGGGAGCCTCTTGGCCCCCGGAACAGGGGAGAGCGCCTTCTTTATTGCTAATCAAGCATTATATCACTTTAGGGGGACATGATTATAGAATCACATGTCACAGGAAGGGGCACTATAATAGGCATACACATTGTAGGAAGGGGATCTACGATAGGCATAAGCGTAACAGGAAGGGGATGAGCTAGGGGTGTGCCCATAGGAATGGGAAGGTCTAGGGGTATGCATGTGACAAGATGGGCGGACCCTAGATTCATGATGGCAGCCTAACCTTGGGCATCCTTGGGCGGGTTTGACCTATCTGGTGTCTCCTACAAGGAAACAGACAACTATTATCCTTATCAGAAGGGAGTGGGCCCTACTTGTTGTGGGATAGACAGTGGTGTCTGCTTGCTCCAGATGGCTACTTCTGATGACCTCCAAGTGTATAGTCATTCGCAAGCAGCTAAGTCTGGTATATATTTGGGGGAGACAACTTGGGAGAGATCCTTCTGTTTCCCACAAAAGTCATGGGAGCTGACTGGTGCTGATAGCTGTCGTGGAATTCCTTGATTCCAGCTCTCGCCAGAGGCCAGTGAGCACCAAAACCCAGAACCCCTCATGAAGCAAAAAATAACAATCCTTTTGATCCATCATTTGATCTCCTCGTGCAAGGATTTGTTCACTGTTGTGCTTGTGTTTGGGGTGGGGCTTTAACGGCTACTGTGTTCTTTATATAAGCACATATCAGAGCCAAGTCTGAATAAAGGACAAAGCAGCAGATCTTTGGTTATATCTGGAAGATCCGTTTAGCCTCTCTCAGAAGAAATAACACGCTGGCCACTTCTGAGGCTCCGGCCAGTCAGTAAGAACACGCTGCCATCGAGTCAGAGTGACCCTACAGGACAGGGTAGAATTTCCCTGTGAGTTTCCGAGACTGTAACACTTTATGGGAGTAGGAAGCCTCATCTTTCTCCCGAGGAGCAGCTGGTGGTATTGAACTGCTGATTGCATTCTTCCACTACACCACCTGGGCTCCTAGAGAAGGACACACCCACGAGCATGTGACAGGGTCACCCTACAGGGCCAGGATTCCCAGTCTTCAGCAGTTAACACCTAGTATCAGTAACCTAGTAACCCTGTTGGATGAGATCCCTCTCAAGGGTGTCGCCTGCTTCCAAGCTAAAAACTGTTTGCTTTTTGTTGAATTTGGATTTTCTCTGGCTTATCGACCCTCCAGGTCTTCAAACTGGAGCCAGGGGCCTGCTGTACTGCCTGCTGGTCCCGGGGCTTGTCCGCAGCCTGCTGACTTTGTATTCATTTGCCTCTGCAAGATGGTTTAATCTTGACTTCATCAGTTCATGTAGCTATGTGAGATCCACGGAACTGTGAGCCATTTCCTCGATATCAATCGCTTATCTATGTATTTGTGTGTGCAAAGTTTCACTGTTTTTGTTACTCTAGAGCAGCGGTTCTCAACCTGTCAGTCAAAAGCTCTTTGGGGTTGAACGACCCTTTCACAGGGGTCGCCTAATACATCCTGCATATCAGATATTTACATGACGATTCATAATAGTAGCAAACTGACAGTGATGAAGTAGCAACGAAAATAATCATATGGTTGGGGGTCACCAAACATGAGGAACAGTATTAAAGGGTCGCCGCATGAGGAAGGTTGAGAACCACTGCTCTAGAGAATCCACCCTAAGACTGGTTCTGGAAAAACAAATCGTAAGGATGTCTTCTAAATTGATTCTCAAGTTATATGCAAAATATTACACTAACAAATCAAGTATTAGCGGGGAGGCGGCACTCCAGGTGATCAGCTGCTTGAGGAGTGTACTGAAGCTGGTCAGTCAGTCTCACTCAAAATAGAGAGTGGTAAAGGAGAGAGGTGAGCTCAAGACCTGAGTCACACCTCAAGTATTAATTACTAAAAAAACCACCCTACAGACTGGCTTCTGGAAAGCTCCACTGCTCCTGTAGGCAGCAGTAGCAGTGCAGGCACGTGAATTAAGAAAGGGCGACTGATATGCACAGTGGAACACGACAGAAATAGTGCTGGTCGCTGCTTGGCTGGCAGGACAAATTGGCAGCATCCAAGGGAACTGGTAACAATGTCCAAGCAAGGGGATGCGGCCACCCAAGTTCCAAGAAGTGGTGTGAGCCAAAGGGGTGCAGAGAAATGAGAGAACAAAGACTAGTGGCCAATGAGGCAGATGTGGGGACTTAGTGTGTGTCAGGGAGAACCGATGGGGCTCCCCACTAACAACTCCTGAGAAGGGAGAGGAAGAGCCAGCAGGCCTCTGTGCACGATGTGCCAGTCAAGCTCCCCCAGTTCCCAGAGGCGTGTAACAGTGAGCATTTACAGAGCCCCATGCATCCACCACAGCATGTGCCAAGTGTGTGTGTCTTGGACCCTCAGACTGTTCTCAGAGCCCTGGGTGGTGAAGTCATCTCCCCATTTAACAGATTTTTAAATGGAGCTATGGATTCATCCGCACCATCCTGCCTTCCGGACACTATTACCTGGAGATAGTATGTCCGTGCTGGTGTCCCAAATGATAGCTCCCCTTGCCTCACTGCCCCCTCCCCATCCCACACATACCTTTTCTTGGGTTCCCTCCATCCAATCCCCTGAACCAGAATGAGTATTAGCTGACCTTCTTCCTTCTGATCCGCTTCAGTGCTATTAGTTCTACTTCTAGAACCTTTTCACACATTTTCTACTTTTCTATTTCCACCTTCTCTGCCTTCCTCCAGTCCGTTCTCCAGCAGCAAGGGGGGGACCCCATCCATTCTGCACTCAGATGTCCCCCTCCGCTAACACGTCCACAGTCTCCCATCGCCCTCTGCATGCAGCCCACGTTGACAGTAGCTTATTAGGGACTTTGTGTAGCTCACTGAGAAAACCACGTGGAGGTGACATCTGACCTCTTAGGCGACCCAAGAGCGGAGACTCCATCTCCACACCAGCCCAAAGCCCAATTGCAGCAAAGCAGGGGTCAGGCCTCTGCTGTGTTGTTTACCCCATTCCGACACCAATTGTCCTCCCCACTGGACTGTTCTCTGCTGGGTTCACGAATCTGTTTCAATGGCCACACAGAGCCCACAGACGACACTCACAACCACAGGGATTTATTAGGGCAATTAACAAGCCAGGATTAGAAAACATTAAGGATACATTCTTAATGTGGCCAACAGCAACGTCTCTCTCTCAGCCAGCCCCCAAGTCTCTCTCTCTGGTCCTTAGCCTCTCAGCCACGTGGGTCCCTGGCCTCTGAGCTCCATAGGCCAGGGAGCCTGCCGCTGCCCTGCCTCACAGTCTCAGGGTCTTGGTGCTGCTTCTCTGTTCCGGCTCATGGTCTGTGTGCCCCGGCTGCCCCCACCACTGCAGGCAAGGGTTTCGATGTGCCCCACTGGTGGTTCTTTTTCCTGCATGGTTCTGCCTCAGAGATAGCTCTCTTTTACAGAGGAATGGCAACCAAAGGGACCGATCCCCTCTATCAGTGTTTCTTTCAAGCGCCCTATCTGCACGGTCTCACCCAATCACCTGGTGGGAGTTAGAGACACGGACAGAAGAGCCGTATGAAGACATTTCACATGACCACACTCACCCAACCATCACTCACCCATGTTTCCAGCACTGCTTAGCACCTAGGGGATTTACTGTATTTTCACATCGTGCGTCTATGGAAATAACCTGCATACCTAGTGTAAGAGGGCTGCATACTTTTTAAAAAAAATAAATCATTTCATTGGGAGCTCTTACCTCAATCCATACATCAATTGTATCAAGCACATTTGTACATATGTTGCCATCATTTCCAAAACATTTTCTTTGTACTTGAGCCCATGGTATCAGCTCTTTTTTCCCTCCCTCCCACCCTCGTGACCCATTGATAAATTACAAATGATTATTTTCATATCTTACAGCGTCTGCTGTCTCCCTTCACCCAGATTTCTGTTGTGTGTGTGTGTGTGTGTGTTATACTTTGTGATCAGTTCCCCCTTTCTCCCCCCACCTTCCCCCTACCCTCATGGTATCGCTACTCCCATTATTGGTTCTGAGGGATTTATCTGGCCTGGATTCCGTGTGTCGAGAGCTCTTATCTGTACCAGTGTACATGCTCTGCTCTAGCCGTATTTGTAAACTAGAACTGGGATCATGAGAGTTGGGGGGAGGAAGCATTAAAGATCTAGAGGGATGTTGTGTGCTTCATCAGTGCTATACTGACGGAGTCCAGCTCCGGGAGGGAGGGTTGAACTGGACACCTGAAGGAGGTGTGGACTCGGCGAACACAGACGAGACAGACACGAGAGATGTTCTGGGGGAAGCAATCTCTGCTGAG